GGACGGATCCTGGGACTAATCAAAACCGGCAGATCCGGCTGCTGCAGCATCCAGGCCTGGGCTGTTAAAGAAGGGGGGGGGGGAGTGAAGTGTACAGGTCAAAGGTCGACGGCATGGACACTTTAGAGGGTTTATGAGCAAAGATTTATTTGTTAACGTTGTTTTTGTTCCTGGTTCTTACTGTTACTGGTACTGTTACTGTAGCGGTCCAAATACATGTAGGCTGGAAGCCCGGGGGGGGGGGGGGGGGGGGCAGTGGGAAGTGAGAGACTGCTGCTCATCCCTCAGGCTGACTCTCTGCACCCCTGAAGCCATCAGTGAAGATTATTGAGCTGCATCACTCCTGTCAGCATTTGTTTATGTGCTCTTATTAGGGACTTAATTTACAGTCAGGTCTCACCCTGTGAGTCTGCAGAGCAGGTCTCCACCCGTCATATTAGTTACATTTGAATGTGGACACAAATCCTATTACTTTCAAAAAACCTATAGAAAAGTTCACATTAAATAGAAATCATTATGATTTTAATTAGAGTTTATGTGAAAAACCCAAATGTTCTAGTATTTATTTCATAATGTTTTATTTGAATTATTTTTTTCCTGCAGGCGTCAAAGAGCGAGGGAGAGACAGCAGAAACTCCTCGCTGAATTTGCCTCCAGACAGAAGAGCTTCATGGAAACGGCAATGGATGTCGGTAAGAAAAGTTATCACTGACCTTTTTTCTTCTTTTTTTTTTTTTTAAACACAACATTCACGTTCACTCACATTTCAGTATCACGTTGGTGCAGTTTGAAAGTGGAGTTCAGTCCTTGGTTTTTGTGAGCCTGTTAGATGAAAGTGAGAGAAGATAACTCCTGTGGGAGAGTGGGCCACTGCTGACTGAGGGCACAAAAGATCAAAGTACTAATAGTGGGCTGTACCCTGAGGACCAGCTGTGACACCGTGTGGTTAGAGAGAGAGTAACGGCTACTGTGATCGGATGGACTGTAGTCTGACCTCTCTCTGAATCTCTCCTCATCAAGGGGGAGTTCTTAGTTGCTTTTCTTCAAACTAACTTTTTGCAGCAACTTATGTGCACTTATACATTCTAAAAACTGTCAATGTTCACATATCAGTGCACTTTTCTATATGAGTCTGCATTATAGAAGATGAACAAGATCAGAAAAGTGAAGCTCAGAGCATAGGAACAGCTGAGGTTGAGCAGATGAGACAGATCAGAAATACGACTTTCAGATCAGCCAAGGTCAGAAAGTGGAGGTTGACCTGGTCACACAGTGAGGAAGGAGAATGACTTGGTCACAGAAGGGAAAACAGAAAAAGACAATAATTATTTAAAGTTTGGATTTTCATTAATTCTTTTATTTATTTTGTCATTGTTTACATAAAATAATGTAATTTTGTGTATTATGCAACTTCAAAACAAAAACACCACTCACAATTCAAGGACTTCTTGTATTGTGTATAAACCCAATGGTAGAGTTCAGTCCTGTCATTCATCAAACAGTTCTTGGGCCCAATTCTCACTGCGGGTAAAACCCACTCGGGATTGTGTGAAACTAACCCAAACCTCTACAGCTGTGGTGATCCTTGATGAAAGAATAAGCTGAAAAAATGAACAATATGGACCAAATGGCTAATTAAAAAAGTAATTGTCCACTTAATTGGCAATGAAAAACACGATTAGTCTCAGTCTTGGTTGAACGAAAACTAATGTATCTTTCTTAAATTTTGAACTACTTTTTACTGACGACTAAAAAAAATCTGTCTTTGGTTTGCTGATCACAATTATATAACCTTTACACTCGGTAACTGATTGTAAAGTATGTCGTTTGTCACAATATAGTGTCATGTACCAGTAACAGTATTAGTTTATCACCTCTAATATCACACATCGTTTTTGTGTTTGTGATTTATATACATTGAAGAAGATTCACAAATGTGTGCTGCAGGAAGCATAAAGCAGCATCACGCCGACCCACCCCAGTGTCCTTGTCGTTCTGGACGTGTGTGTGTGTGTGTGTGTGTGTATTAGTGTTAGTGTGTACGTATGTATGCGTGGGTTCTGTGTGTATTGGGATGGCCTGAGGCTAAAGCTATACCGTTGAAGTCTAATGCAAACAGCTTTCATTTCCCCGGGAACACAGCGACCTCTCCAGAGAACATTTTATTCCACAAAGGCAATAAATCAATTTCCAACACGGCCTGACATTTCTACACAACACAAACGGATGAAATTGAACACAGTTTGTAACATTTAAAGCTCAAAATTAAAGCAGTGATTAATTTTGCAGTGCTGTGACGTTCATGCAGAGTCAGAGAGAGGGGATTAGTTTAAGTCTTGGTTCAGAGGACTGACAGTTTTTATTGAAGCGTCTTTTTGTCGTTGCCTACTTTTGTGTCTGCTTTAAAGAACACACAATACACTGGAATTCCTAGAAACATCAAATGTCAGAATTGCGTTTTGTGTTGAAGCCTGACTGAATGTGTCATTGATGTCCTGCTGCCTCTCATATGTGTGTTTTGTTCTCATTATCCACGTCTCCTGTGGTTTTGGTGTAGAAAAAAAACGATGTCATTATAGCACCGTACTGCTGCTCTACACTGGGCCTTTGTGATGGCCGTTGCTGACGCAGACCTATCTACAGTTTTCCACAAATGTAACAGATGAGCTGTGGCTGTTGGTTTTAAAACTGCAGTAGAATTTCTGAAAAACACGTAAGACAAATAGTCCAACGATGGATTCCTTAGAAAATTTCATTTGAGCCTAAATAAAAACACTGTCTGCACACTGAAGCGTCCACTGTGACCGATTCTTTTTAAATTGTTTTCCTTTTGTGCATTCTCCCCACTAGAAAGCATTCACAGTATTTGTTTTTTGTCTTTTGTATTAAGATGTTTTTTTGCCCACCTAAATGAAAATGCAGTGTTACCCAAGAAGGTGTAACATCTTTTTTTTTTTTCTTGCTTTTTTTTCATTCTTTCTTCTGAAACAGAATCTCCTGAAGCGGAGGCAGCCATGGATTTAGGAGCAGCTGAAGTCATGGAGTCTGAGGTTCTCTATGAGTGTGTCATCTGTGGTCAGAGTGGACCCTCCACTGATGACCGGCCAATCGGGCTGGTCGTTCTCCTACAGGCTTCCTCAGGTACTGCATGTGGAACTCTTAAATCAATTTATTTTGTGTAGAACAACTGCTCCACCCCCCCAAAAAACCCTGAAATAATTAAAACAAAAAAGAATTGCAAAACATTTATAGTTTCCAGTATCATTAAGCTGATTGAATTTTCAGTATTATTATTTAAAACCAAAATATATCACTCGCTGTGCAAGCACAGAGATAAGAAAAAAAACTTAAGCCGATCCAGACTCAAAGTGTGCAGCAATCTGCTTTGGCCAAAAGTGAAATGTAAATTGGGGAACACAACGTGGAGGAGAGGGAGGAGAGGAAAGGGGGAGGAAATAAGAGCAACAACAGTATTATCAAAGTTCTGTCAGTCAAGTTGTTAAAATAAAAACAGTACACAGCCATAAAAACCTAGTGGAAGAATTGCTGATCCTGTTTCTTCACTACACTTTTAACACCTTTGCTCCATCATGTAGCCTCTCACATTGCTAACAGGTTAAACTTTGTTTTAATGAGCTCATTCATCACTTCACGTTGACGCCTTCTCTCTCGTACATCCACGCTGCTCTCACAGGAGGTCGGTCCTTTTCAGTTTTTGTGGACGGGGGAATCGATCACTGTCGTTCAAATTAATGACATTTTTAATTGTTATTTAGTCAAAAGCCTCTGACTTCACTCTTCCAAAGAACAAAATATTGTCACTTAATAATAGTTTTTAACAGTTTCATCATCCATAGACATAATTACATGAATTCTTCATGTTTTTTTCAATCTGTCTCTCAGTTCTTGGTCATCGCTGCAAAAACAAAGAGGCTAAGAATCTACCGACGACAGATGACGAGCACATTTATCCCACGGACACGTGTGGAGTGGCTCATGACATCAGGCTCACACTAATGCAGCGCTTCTTCAAAGATGTAAGTTTATTAATATGAATAATTGATTTAATTATTCATGAAAGCTGAGAAAACACTCTATTGACTGTTTACATGTTAAAACATGAAAAGCGAGGACCGCTGTATTTTACATATCCATTAACTCACAAGCCCCACAAACTCAGAATCTGTGAGTAAAATGTGTAAAGGCCATAGTTGATGTGACCCTAACCCTCCCCCTTCTCACCCTGTTCTGTGTTTTGATTTCTACAGAGTTCTTGCCTGCAGTCTGTGTCAATAGGTTGGGATGGAGGTGTCTATGTCCAGACCTGTGGACACACTTTGCATATAGATTGCCACAAGTCCTACATGGAGTCACTGAGGGTAAGAGAACTGCTGAGCGTCCTGACAGTCATTTAAAATCAGTCCGACAAAATAAATAAATCCAAAGTTGTGACAAATATAAATATATGAGTAGTCCAATCCAGAGTACAGTCAAATTTTGAAAGATAAATATTGAAATTTAAAGAGTTTGAAATTGTAAAGATCAACATTAACTTCTGTCTTCTTTTTTCTTCAGAATGACCAGGTCCTCCAGGGTTTCTCTGTGGACAAGGGTGAGTTCACGTGTCCCCTCTGTCGCCAGTTTGCCAACAGTGTCCTCCCATGTCGCCCTGGGCGGGGCACGGAGGTCGGAGGCTGGCACACGGCTACGAACAAAAAGACAAGTTTGCTGGTGAAAGAAGTGGAAGATCTTCAGGACCAACTGGGCCTCTTCACGGTGAGTTTTTTTTTTCACGATCGAAGACGGATCTAATTACGAAGAGCATTCTGTGTGTCCTCCACAGCTGTGCTTTAAACACAGCCGTCTCATTATGGACTGGTGGAAACACACACTGATTGTAATTAGCACAATGAGCTGACACCAAATCACAGGAGGTGTTGACCAATGATGCAGATGGTAACAGAGGTTAATTCTCACGGGATATAAACTTGTGTTTCATCAGGCACCTGCAGTCCTGCACGAGTCAGTGTTTACTAAAGGCTCTATGTCTCTGTGTCATTTTTTAGTCTTGGTTAGGATCAACATACAATACTACATCTTGTGTGGTAAACATAGAGCTACTATTGTTTTCAAAATTTACAGAATCTTTTTGAAAACACACAACATCTTTGTGCACCTTTAAAGACTTGCATGTTTTTTGGAGAGTATAAAAAAAAATCACAAAATGTTTGACAAAACTACAGCAGTTAAACATGATGAGTTTTTAATCAGTGTTGTTATTGTCCTCATCTTTTTCAGACTGAGTCCAACTTGAGTAAAGAGATGGAGTTGGTCATCAAAGACATCAAAAACACCACGCAGAAGAAATATATGGACTATGGCAAGAACCCTGGTTCTCCTGACAATGACTTCCTCTTCATGTATTCAGTAGCCAGGTGAGGCCAGGATCGATCTGATGGGTTGTTAAAAGTGGTTTGTTGATGTGACCTGCTGTGTTCTCCTGACAAAACAACAGCTACTTGTTGGGCATTGTTGTGCCAATACACCTGGGTAACGAGGGTAATTAGACATAGTGTTCAGAAGGCAGCTTGGCAGCTTCTATGAGGGACGTGTGACTAACATTTTAGTATGTTGTATTCCTTTGAAAAAAAATCTTGGTGGGAAAACATTTAATTTTAAAGATGATGTTGGTTCTCACTGTCGATGCATTCCAGTCTGTTTTGCATCTTGTTGCTAAAAGTGCTGTTCTTATCCTGGTGTCCTGCACACCTTAGTAAAGCTATTCCAGGCACATTCATCCAGAAGGTGA